CACAATTAAATTAAAATATTTAAAAAAATATTTTAAGATATTAAATTTTTATTGGAGTTTGTAACCTTTTTCAATGTTTTTTGTAGATTTATTTTACAGTTGTAAATAAAATATAAAAAAAAAGTATGTTTTTTATAAGCGTTAGACGTTCATATTTTGATTAAATAAATCGAATATTACTAGTAAAAAATATGTGAAATAGAAAATTTACCTTTATTATTGCAAGCAATCCAATTCATATCAGCAGCATTTGAGTCATCTTTGCCGATTAAATACGTAAAAACTCGGACCGGCATGTGTGGTTTGTTATGTTGCAGAATTTCTTTATATGGTCCAAATGGACCGTCAGTAATTATCAATATAGCTTGATTGCATTGACTTCCTTGACCGGTGCGGTTAAACTGTATTTCAACATCATAGACAATATTTAGATTATATTGGTAGCAAACACGAATAGAATTTCACCCATTATACTAATATCCACCCTATCTATCTTCGCCCAACAAATTAACTCCTCCCCGCACCAAACTATAAGTTTCTAAATTAATTAATTCAAAGGTACTTTATGCAGTATGTCGAATGCACGGGCTAGAGCTCCAGTGAAGTTAGAACTGCCAACAAACTTTGATTGTGCCACGGCGGATCTTAAATCTCTTAAGTTCTTCTCGTTGGCCTAGAATTTAAAATAATGAGCCATTGTTTAAAATAGTAATGAGAAAGGTATATGTTTACCTGCACAATCATGTCTTTGAAACATGGAACTATTTCATAGTTTGATGACTCGAGCGATAGAACATTGACGAAATCGTTAGCACCCAGCGTATCAAGCGCCGCTAAAGTAGTAGCTCTTACAAGACTAAGTTTATAGTCAGATAATGCGATTGAAAAATCAGCTATTATAACAATATCTTTGGCACTGGTTGCAGCCTCTACAAACCACGGGTTAAGTCGGTAGTCGAATAACGCAGATGGTGATAATCCTGAATATGAAGGCCACCTCAGTGCTATAATAAAAATATATAATTCGCCTAGTCAATAAACATATCCTTTCGCTCTAACCGTAATTTCATATTTTTGTTAATTAGTTGTTAATTTTAACCGTAATTAGTAACGAGTAGCTGGGTTGGACGAAGAGAAACTTAAATAACGACTTCAAATAAAGGAAGACCTTATTATTAGAAGCCAGTTCGACCACTCGTCAATAGTCTTATAAAATGTAAATAAACTTAAGATGCTTGATCAAGATTCAACTCAGACTCAGATGCTCTTAAATATGCAGTATATAATGCGGTTTATATTTCTTCAATTAAAATTTTTTAAATCTTGAGTAATTCGATTTAATATCAACAAACACTAGTTTAATTTTTTTTAAATCATATTTAATTAGGTTTTATTGAATTTACTCTTCAAGCTGGGTATTTTTTTCTGGTTATAAATTTATCACAAAAATGAAAGATCGTAATTGAATCATAGTTCGTAATATCTATAAAATATTTATGYCATGTTTATTAGATAAAAAAATATTATTTGTATATAATAGTGTATTAGATTTAATACTAGTAACACATTATTGGTTTTATTTTGAGTAACTTGAATACAATTCGTGCATGAAATTCACGCAATACAATTTCGATATAATATATTGACGACTGTTGAACAATATATGGTTAAGGAAATAACCATAATATTCGATGTTCATGTTCAAATGTATTATTTATTTATTCGTAAATTGTATAGTATTTTATTTTGTGTTCGTGAGTCGTGACACTTATACACTATGACAGTAACTTAGTGAAATTTCCAACATAGAATGCCAGTATAGGTAGGTTACACTTACTTGGAAATCTTCTGAGTGTCCCTTTTGTGCTACCAAAATATTGCCACGATAATACAGGATCCATTTCATAATTGCTTACAAATATTGGATCCAAATGGTCAGTCCACTGCATATCTCGTACTATGGTTTCATCGACTGAATCTTTAAATGTAATAATACAATTGAAAACATTAAAAAAATATATACATATATTTTAAACTATTATTTAAAATTAACAATATTTAATCGCACTTTAAAATTAAAAAAAAATATATATCAGGTAAGTAGGTACTTTTTACAATTTTACGTAATATGTAGTTTTATTTTTAATTGGATAATAATATTATACCCTTTAATATTTCTATCATCATTCATCAGTAATCTTTAAAAGTATCGTGAATGTTATTTTAGTAAAACATTACCTGGATCTACATATGAACTTTGTAATAGCACACAATTTACGGTGGTATTAAATGCACATTGATCGTATCGATCTATTGATTCAAGACTCTTGTAATCCCCAAATTCATCGTTTGTGTAGCGCTCAGTCTTTACAGAAGCCTCTTGATTAGCTAAAGCAGATTGTTCACCAGCTTCCATTAGCCTCTGGAAATTTTTTAAATAAGATCATAAAATAATATTTGAGTTAGGAAAAAATATATTTACATATTATTATAAAGTTAATTTAATAACAAACCAATTATAAAATTTAGTTTTAAATATAACATTGTAAGCTAAACTTTTTCAGTAAAATGCTTGAACCATAAACTATTATTCCWGAGTTAAAATATTGCAGATTTGGGTCTTGGACGGGCTCAAGGAATTATATTTTTGTGGCGTGTGAAAATATTCTAAAAGGAAGGAGAATGAAAAAAGTTGCTAAACGGGTACAAACTTTCGAGACAGAAATAAATCGAAAAAACCTGTAAAACAATAGTCAAAATTGATGGTGGGTAATTTTTAAAACTTTATTCGGCAACAACGGTTTATTAGATTTGTAAAAAGTACATTGAACTTTCATTGTGACCTGTATAAATATTGGAAAAAATATAAACATACATTTTACATTTTTACCAATACGTGAATATTGTTCACATAGCATATTGTACATGTTATTATGTTTACATAATAGCTAATGTTTCTGTAAATTATATTTTTCATAAATATGTGCATTATATTTTATAATCTTACTATCAAGCGATTACTATCCTACTATATTAYAGCGATTATATTTGTATCGCTAAAAATTTAGTTGTAAAATTATTATTTCATAATAAATAGAGCTCGGACATTTATGACTTAGCATATTTTTTTGTACAATCAAAATTACACTTAAACCTAAGTATGATAAAAATGAGATTAATGATAATTAATATCAAATTATTACTAATAGATTACAAATATACAAACTTATCATGTTTTTGAGCATATTATTAATGCATAATATTTTGATTGTTTCTGTATATTTTATGAATTAAAAGTGTAATATTAAAAGTTATTCCTGATATTATCAATTTGTATGTTTTATTATGCTTATGAGTAAGATCCGTCAAAAATTAAGAGATTAGATATTTATAAAAATATATGATGTCGGATCGTCGAATATCTTTCAAAATTGAAAATATCAGCAAAATAATTGTTATACTTAAGTACAACTCATCTTTAATAGATCAGCTACCTACTAATTAAATTGTTGTTTCATATTTAATATATAAACTTAGTAATAAAGTAGTTTTAAATTAACATTCAAAAAGTATATTTTTTTTAAAATTAATATTAACATTTTTTGTATTTAATCGTTGAAAAAATAGGTACATTTAATATTATATTTTAWGGCATACAACTTCATTGTTTCACATTTTAATGAATATTTAAATTAAATTTAATTGTTAAAATCTTAAATTTAGCAATTAAAAATTGAAAATTCTAAAACAAATTTATTTTACAAGTATATTAATCCAGACTATTTATTCTAGGTAGTGTTTTAAAAAAAATATTTATTACTTTTTTTTTAATTTCTGAAAATTAACAATCTGTATTTCATAACATAATAAGTAAAAAAAATGACTGACATAACACTACATGTCTATATACATAATAAAAATAACACATGGAGCATTAAATGTTTATAAAATAAACCTCTGTCTAAGATTTTTAGTAGTAAGTTAAGTACCAGTTTAATAATTCCATATTAAACCACTATAATAATATTTATTTTGAGATCTGAATTATTTTTAGTTATTTGTAATTATTATTAAAATATAAATCGTGAATAAATAATAATCTATGTCATTAATTTAATAAATACATTAATCACAACAAATATTTTTTTTAATAATTTAT